GCATTAAATTATTTAATTTTGAATTTTTAGTTAATTTTAGAATTGATTTTCATGAAGAATTTAATCTAAAATACCTAAATACTAGAAATTTCTGTTCTTTAGATTATATTGGATTTTAATCTACTAAATAATTTAAAAATCTTTATTTAAAAATACAACCTTGAGAGGCTGAAGAAATGATGGCTCAACAGTTAATATAATATAATGCTCTTCCAGAGGACCCAAATTCAGTTCCCAACACTCATATCAGGAGACTCACAACTTCTTATAACTACAGCTTCAGGGGATCCAGTGCCCTCTTCTGGCTTCCACAGGCACCTGCACTCATGTGCTATACACACACACACACACACACACACACACACACACACTTAAAAATAATAAATATAAATACAAGGTTAAAATACCCAAATATTTTTTGTCTAGATTTATTGATTCACTAGATATTTATTAAGTGATTGTTAAATGTTTAAGGCATCATGCTAGATTTTATACAGGACATAAAAGTCTTATTTTGCTTTGATTGTTGATAAACTTAAAGAGAAAAAGCCCCAAGCTTCACAAGGAAAGGACTAGTGTGCTCTGGAGTTTATAGCAGGATTATTTCTGTGGCTGCTGTGGCTGAGAAGGCTTAGGAAGAAGTAGCAGTTGACTTGACCTCTAGGAATGTGTAAGAGTTCACCTCACAGTGGTCTACAGAGCATCCATCTGAAAGATGTGCTCCTTCCCAGCTCATGCTCCTCCCAGCTGTGTGCTCCCAGTCATACCTCTTTACCTACTGGAGAATTGCTCCATCTGGCTTTCTTCTTCTTCCTCATCCTTTCTCTTTCTTTTTTTATTAATTGGCACAGATGTAATAATGCCTTTGTTGAAAGGCTGGTGTTTGGAAAGAAGCTAACACTCTGATGGTAGCTGTTCTGTGTATAACGTAACACAGGGATGTCCAACCTGCATACAGCCCAGGACAGCTCCCTGTGTCACACTTGTAACACAAAATAAACATGTGGTCTCATAATCTACAGGTAACAGGTTTGGTGCCTGTGGCATATGTGGCTCAAGGCAATTCTTCATCCAAAGAAGCCAGAAGGTTGGACACCCTAGAAATCTAGTTTAGCTATTAGCAAACTTTTATATAAAGGTGAAATATTTAAACTTTGTGGCCCGTGCAGTCTCTGTTGTAGTTACAGTTACTTGGTCTGCCTTTGTCATGTAAGAGCACGACATAAATGGATGTCCTTAGCGTATCTCCAGGAAACCTTTATTAATAGGAACAGGTGATGGGCTAGGTGTGGTCTGCAGGCTATAGTTTGCTGACCTCTGTCTAGACTAGAAGATGTCATAGGAAGAAAGATTTGAAAGGAAGATGTTAAATTTCAGGCAGAACATGGAGGCTTTTATTTCACATTAATCACATGCAAACTAAAGACTTTTGAGCATATATTTAATTGTATGTGCTTTTTCTATATACACATTAGTATATTAAACTTTAGCCTGTGAAAACCACAAAGATGAAATGGCATAGTGATGTAGGATTTGGATTCTGAACCCAGGCTGTGTGAATCTTTACCCTTCTCCCAAACAGCTTGACCTTGGTAGACAGTTCCATAGTGTAGTTTGTTTCTCAATAAAAGAATAATAACAGTTGTATGGTTATAACAATTGTAATATACTTATTTAGTAAGACTTTATGAAGATCAAAAAGATATTTTCATGTTTAATGCACGGTATTTACAAGTTCTGGCAGTTGGGTTTAAGCAGAGAATACATGAGTGGTAAGATTCATGAGCATGAATTCTTTGCTAAAATAGGAGGGACAAAAATGATAGGAACAGAGGACTTAATGATGTAATGACAAATGCATTTTTGAAATGATGGCCCAACCCAATTAAGAAATTGAATAAAGGAGATGATGATTTACAATGATGGTGATGATAGTAAACAGTGTATTCTGCAAGAACAGTCAGTGTTCTTAACCACTGAGCCGTCTCTCCAGCCCCTATTTAATTTTATTTTAGTGTATGAGTATTGTCCCTGAATGTATGTAAGTATAGCTGTGTCATGCAGTATCCACAGAGGACATAAGAGGGCGTAAAATCCCCTGGTACTGGAATTATAGACCATTGTTAGCTGCCATGTGGGTGCTGGGATTTGAACCTGGGTTCTCTGCAAGAACAGTGTTCTTAACTGCTGAGCCATCACTCCAGCCCCTCTTTTTTTTTAATTAAAAAAAAAACTTTATTGAGAATTTCATACATGCATATAAGGTATTTTGATCAAATCCATGCCCACTCCCTCCCCTCCAACACCTCCCATATCTCCCCATCACTTTTTTCTGACAACTTCTTGTTCCCTCCCTCCCTCTGTCCCTCCTTCCCTTCCTTCTTTTTCTATGAGGATTTTGCTACTCTAACATTTGCCCCTCTGAAGAGACAATTTGGGAGGTTTTAGATAGACCCACTAAAGGGGTACCCCAATTCCCTCACCCTGCCTCCCTCTTCAGTGTGGAAGAAGCCAGAGCAGTCTGTGGCCTGATTCCCTATTGGCAATTTGGGTAACCCCTTCAGAGGATGGCATGATAAGAATAGGAGGTAGGAATTGGCTAGGCAGCTAGGGTAAAAAGACCCCAAAGAAATGTAGCCAGTTTCTTGGCTAAAAGTCAAAATGTCCTTGGGCCTCTTAGCAACACACTCTGTTCCAAAGACCAAAAATGTCAAAAGTATTTGGGAGCTCTTATCTAATCCCTAAAAGTTTTTAGTTTTTTGTTTGTTTTAAGACAGTGTCCCAGGGTAACCTATGGCTCTCCTGCCTCTTGCCTCAGCTTCCCAAATGCTGGGATTTCAGGCATAAGCTACCACACCCAATTCAGTTTCTTTATGAAGACAATAGGTAAATTGGAGCATTAATATTCACCATATAGTGTTTTCTTGAAGTGTTTTTTTACAGATTACAATTTAAGGACAGCTCTATTTCCTTTGGAAAAAAGATTTAAATTTAACTAGAGTAACATTGATACTGTCTTGCAGATTTCGGGGAAATTTTGTTTGCATAAAAATAATCATAAAAGTGAATATCTGTTTATGTTAAATCAGTGAAAATTGAATTGCTGATATATCATTGAGGACATAGTGCACAGGGAATCGATAGCTTTGATAGATAAACTGTGTGCTAAGTTGCACCATGGTGATCGTCAGTCAAATTCCCCACAGTCAAATTGACAGTAACAGACTTTGTGGGGTTTGCAAATATTCTCCATACTGCTGCTGTGAAGGTAAAAATTAGATTTTACATGCTTCTGGATGGGAGACAGTGCCTCTGCACTGAAATGTTCTGTTGTTTGTCTCATTATTTATTGTGGCAGTAATTTCTGTCAGAGCTGCAGATTTTATGTTTCGAGTAATCCATGTGCTTTTCTTCCATTATAGAGAGGAACCATAGATGCTCAGTAGGATGCACTCTGAGTTGCATATGTTTACAGCTGGAGGCTATGCTCTCAATCCCTATCCCCTTTCTCCAGTCAGGTGCTTGACAGACCCTTTGCCTGGTTTGGCCTTCATGCTGTGTGATAGTTCCTCATGCGGTCTTTACAGTTAGCCAGGAAAAAATATTGGATAGTCATAAACACTTTTGGTCCATGCAAATATTTGTCCTGGTAGGTTTTAAGGATACGTCTCTAAGGTTATACTTTGCATAAAAATGTATTAACTGTTGGAGGAGTCATATTGTTAAGGACTGTACATAGAACTGTTTTTGCAGTAAGTTAACATTCAGATTGACTAAGATGTGACTGAAATTTTTATGATAGTTTGGCAAACTATCATCTTTATTGCATTTAAATAGACTTGTTTATTGGGGCATCAACCTCAGTTTGCATTGTTTTGTTAGAAATACATTTTCTGTGTCTGCATTATGATGTTGCGTACTAAGGAAAATCAGTTTCTACATGCATTAAAGCTGTATGCACACTTGACCATGTAATTGGGTTTCTGTGTCAGTTAGATGTCTCCCTTTATTTAAAATTCATTTCTAAGTTTATGACTCTTCTAAATGCTATCATAGTCATTTTGTGCTGCTATACCAATACAGTAGATTAAGTAATAACAAAGACTTATTTCTTATAGTTCTGAAGGTAGGAAAATCCAAGGTCAGATCTAATGTCTTAGGACCTTCTTGCTGGGTGACACATGGAGAAGGTGAAAGGGCAAGAGTTTGAGTGTTAAGACAGGTTGAGAAAGAGACAGAGAGAGCAAAGGACAAGTCACTCAGCAAGATGAATAGGCTTACTTGCTTTCCTAACAAATCCATTGTTACAATGTTCATCTAGTTCTCTGTATAGTTTCCCATCTCTTTAAACGGCTGTGTTGGGGTCTGAGTTTCCAATACAGGAACTTTTAGGGGACACATTCAAAATAGTACATGTGGGCTAGAGAGATGGCTCAGTGGTTAAGAGTTCTGGTTGCTCTTGCAGTGGACCTGGGTTCAATTCCCAGCACCCACATGGCAGTTAACAACCTTCTATAACTCCAATTCCAGGGGATCTGATGACCTCTTCTGACCTTGCGGGCATTGCATGACAGGGTGCACTTACATACATGCAGGCAATACACACATTCACATAAAATGAAATAAAAATTTTTAAATGTAATCAAAATAATACATGTGTTTCATTTTCTTATTATAGTTGCCATGATTTGTATAACTTTCTTTGTTTTCAGAGTATTCCAAAATCAAAGTTGAAATGTTTAATGATGTTATATTAGGTTGCTAAAAACTATACATAGTACATTATTAGTTTGTTTAAAAAAGTAAGATGATTTCATTAATTTATAATGTAGATATTCATAGTAAAATAATTATTTAAAATATTTAAAATACATTTTTAGGGGCTAGTGATAATTTAGTTGGTAAAGTACCTGTGTGTAAAAAGACAAGTGTGGTGTACACAGCCCCAGGCCTGGAGAGGCAGACACGCAGAACCCTATAGTTCACTGGCCATTCCAGCTTCATCTACAAGACAGGTTTCTGGCTAGTGAGAGACTCTGTATCACAAAAAGGTGGCTAGCCACAAACATGCCCATTGTATTCAACCTCATAGACATGAACACACACATATTTATACAAAATAAAACCTCATATACATGAACACACACATATTTATACAAAATAAAATGCATTTAATCTCAGTATTTCCAAATCGTTGCTCATAACGTGGTAATAATTGAGAAATAATTGATTCTCAAAAGGAAGTAGGAAATTGTTTAAAAGTGTGCATAGGCTTCCTTCAAACTTGCTTTTTTTATTTCCCTATTTAAAAGTATTAGATGTAATAGTTAATACAGATACTTTCTTAGGAAACCAGTAAAGCTTATTGGACAATGCAAATGAGAGACAAACTTCTGAAGAATGAAAGGAGAGGAGCTGGACCACAGAAAAAAAGTGGGAAAAGCAGAGGCCAGAGTTACTAACATAATCTACTGTGCCAAGTGTCTTTTGTGGAATGACTGCATGTTCCGACAGCAGCCCCGGGCACCCTCATTAGAGAGGAGCCACAGTCCTGAGACTAGTGGGAACAGAGCCAGAATCCACACTTGTGCTAAGCACTTTCTTCTAAACCCAAGTTGCCAACGTCTGAGTTGTCCTAGAACCCTGCCCTGAGAGAGACAGCTCACACAGAAGATTAAAGAGGTGGCCAGGATGTTGAGGAAGAGACCTCTTTGTATTCTAGGGAGTACCTGTCAATAGAGTTTACAATGAACTTGGCAACAGAGTTCAGCCAGAAGAAAGCAAACACAGTTTATCCAGTGACTCAGCAGTAATCCTCTGACTTTTTTTTTTTTCAGTCCATTGACTTTTGCTTTTGAGTTTTGCATGCTAGTATTCAACTTTAAAGGAGAAAGTAGAAGTTAATATATTAAGGAATATAAGAAGATAAAAAACAAGTTACAAAAGAAGGTCATACACCTGTGGTATACAAACTTTTGCAATGTATTTTCAAAACAATATTTTGAATACCTCGCAAAGGTTCTTGTACAATACAGTTAAAATTGGGAATTAGGTGTTTTAGATAGATGTACGTATTTTAGAGTACAGTTTTATAATGTAAACCAGTCGCCATTACCATTTTCACAACTGAACAAAAAAGGTCCAATAGAAGTTTTACCAAAGAAGATAAAACAAAATTAGAGAAAATGCTATATATGACTGCTATGTGTTTTTCATCCTATAACTTCTTAGAATTGGCAGGAATTAGAAACACTTTACACATACAAGAGCACAATCACAGTCTTCAAGGTAGATGTTAATAGTTATTTGAAGTAAACCTTAGTAAGGCATAGTCAGTTGCTGAATGGTTAACTCACTGGATGGACAGGAGAGACAGGCAAGCAAGCAGATGAACAAATAGGTCAACCTGCTTAATAAATAAATTTGTAAACCCATTGAAAATTATGTTATTTGCCAGATGGAAAATAACTGTAGCATTGTAGTTTAGTATTAAGTGAAAATCACAATATAAAAGTCACTTGGATCTTTGTTTTTAAAAATATTTTTATTTTTTTAAATTATGTGTTAGTGTATGTATACATGTGTGCATGTGTGCAGGTACTTGCAGAGCCCAGAGGTGTTGGATCTTCCTGGAGCTGGAGTTACAGGCAGTTGTGAGCCACCTGATGTTTGTACTGGGAGACAAATTAGGGTCCTCTGGAAAAGCTCTTAACCATTGAGCCATCTCTCGCTCCTAGAAGTCACTTGGATCTTAGAATTATCAGTACCAAATAAATCTAGAATGATATGGAAAAACGGCATTGAACATTAATAGATGGGAATGTTTTTGTGTTTTCTCTATGTGGCATATTTATATAATTACAAAAAAAAATAATGCACAGGCATTTAAAAGTGAGTGTCAACACTGTGATAATTAGAATACACTACAGGAGACAAGGCATGTTCACAGTTGTAAGCCCATACCAGTAAGCAGTAGAGACACTTGCTTTAGGCCATAACCACACATCTGTTCATGAATTCTGTGTTCTGATATAATGACAGATAAAGCTTGGTGATGCTGGTTTTTCTGTGACACTTGACAGTGTGAATATGAGGTAGAGTTCACAAAACCTTCTAAATGAGAATCCAACCTTTGCCCTGTTCCCCTCAGCACCTGATAAAAATTGGAGTGTCACCGTTTACTAGGCAATTTTTCTGCACTAAAATTTACCTTAAAATCTGGTTTTGAACTGATATTATCCTATGGAAACTACAGTGTTGGACATCGAGTTTGGATGATGGACATGACCCTGTGGGATATGAACTTTTGGTGCTAGAATGACTCCCATGTCTGCCCCACATGGTTCTTACCTCCTTACACTTGCTTCCGGGACTCTACAGAGGAAGAGCGCTGGGTCCTGTCATCCTGGTCCCCTACCCTATATTCTTCTGTGCACACTTTGTGGGACTTCTTCTGGATCTGAATGTGCAGTTTATCCTTCAATGACACCTAGAGGGTATTACAGTAGTCTCAGTCTACAGTTTGTTACTAAAGTGAGAAAATCATGTTTTAAATTTGTCAATTAACTCAGCTTTCATCAATGCTTTGGAAAGAACATTCTACTGAGTCAGGACTGATGTAGACTTTGGTCCTAGTGTCTCAGTGATAGACTGTTACCTTGGGCAAGTCATGCAATCTCTCTGAAACTCAATTTTCTTAAGTGTTAGATAAAAACCTTTGACCAATGTCATTTCTGATGTCCTTTCCAACACTGAATCCTATCATTCCCTGAGTCTCTTATAAGTAAAATTTTAATCCTCTTTTATGAAAGCATTCTGGTTTTCTTTCAGCCTGGCTACAGTATACATCCTTCTAAAGTTACGTTTTTGGAAATTATGTCACATTATAGCTGTGTGATTCCAAATGAAACATTTACTGCCTGCCTGATGTGCAAGAGAATTTAAAGAATTTAAATGATAAATACTTGAGGAATGAGAAAAGAGGAAACCAAATAGAATGAGCATTTGAAAAGCTTTTGATTGTTTTGAATTTTCATCTCAACTTTTCATTTATAGGTTGTGAACTGGCTTGAAGGGCCTGGATCGGAACAACTAAGAGCACAATGGGGGATCGGTGACTCTATTCGGGCTTCCCAGGCCCTGCAGCAGAAGCATGAAGAAATTGAGAGCCAGCACAGTGTGAGAAGCTTTCCCCTTTGCAAGTCACAGTGTGATCTTCCATGGGTATCATCAGTACCTGTGTGGTACTGAGTGCTGATTCTTATAAACTTTGGTCTAGGACACAAAGCACAGTATGTTGACTACTTAGAGGTCTTAAAGTACATTTTGACTGCTTAGTCTGTACATAATCAGTGATAGTTTGGTTCTGACTCCAACATAGTTTAATTATTTTTTATAGACGTCCAATTTGATGACATTTTAAAAGCTACAGTATTAGCAAAATGAGTGTTCCTTATCAGTTTTCCCTGTGATGGAAACTTCTAGGTTTTTTAAAAATTGTTTTTAGCATATATTAATTGTATAGAATAGTGGGTTTCATTGTAACATTTTCATGCTTGCATATAAAATATTCTGATCATAGTCCACCCCTTTTTAAGCCTCATTTAACTCTCTCTGTCTCTCCCTCTGTTCTTCCTGCTCCCTTTCCTTTTTCAATGACACTTTCATTTTGCAATCCTCAGAGAGGCCCTTTCCTGCTTTACTGGGAGTGTACAGTACAATTAAATGCTGAGAGCAACACCACAATCACTACATTAAACAGCTAAGGAGCTGTGAGCAGAGAATGCGAAATGTCCTTCCAGTCTCTGTTGATTTAGAGATTTACTCTTCTAATTGTAAAGGGTACAGTCAGACAAATCAGACATGAATTGGGAAATAAATTAATACTTAAACTGATTGGAGATAATGACTGTTCAAGAGAACTTAAAACGTGGTTGATGGAGGAGACTGGTATTTGTTAGGCGCCTGCTGTGTTATAGTTGGCCTGGTCTTGATGAGAAAGTAGGTACCCAGCTTGTGGGAAGGAGGCTTACATTTTTCCCTCAATCCATGCTCCTTATTATGGTAATTTTAAATGGATTAAATGTAAAATTGGAAATAGAAAATTTTAATCTGTTTATTTCCATCCTTAGACTCAAAGGTTGGTCAGTAATAATTTTGAAGTTAAAAGACTTAAAATTGAAATTCCATAATTGAATGTGTATATATTTTATGCATTTCACAGATTCCAACAAAGTTTCCTCTTTTATGGTTAAAAAAGTCACAGTGGATAATTTATATTTAATTTATAAGCCTTATTCCCGAGGTTATATTCTTTTAATTCACTTGGTACTTTTTAAAGTTATGTAGTGATATTGAGTCTTTTTTTTTTAATTAGGAATTGTGATTTATTTGAACCTGGTGGATTATTCTAGAACATATTATTATAATTGGATTTTGTTCATTATTTGTATTCGTACAAATAACGTAATTTGTTCATTATTTACTTCTTGAACCGTATTTGCCATAGAGAATTCTAGACTTCATTAAGTGGATCTAATTACGAAAGCCTTTTGGTGAGGATTTGTGACATGAGGATCCTGAAGACAAGTTTGTTATGTTATTTTTAAAAGTAACCAACAGGTGCTGGAGAGAAGGCTTAGCAATTAAGAGCACTGGCTACTCTTACAGAGGACCCAGGCACCTATATGATGGCTAACAACAAACTATAACTTCAGGTCTAGGGGATCCGATGCCCTCTTCTGATCTCTGCAGGCATTGCATGACGCAAGTGCACTCACATATACTCATACACACACACTCACAAAAAAAAAAAAAAAAATTTAAAGAAACAATTATAGTTAAAAAGTGGATTATATACATATTATATAGATTCATATGGATTTGATAAGACCGTTGTATATTATATATAGTATGGATAAAGTTGTAAATTATACACATAGATATTCACATGTAATTTTGTCTTTACAAGGTTATTAAATTAAAGAAGCAAAGTGCTTGTAGGTGGCTCTGTATGCTTTGGTTGACTTAGATATTGAATCTGTATGCAAAGCTTTTAAATGAGAAAGGACCACATGCTGGTATGTAGATTGTCTAAATGTAGATTCTTCAGATACCACCACATTCTTTTATAGATGTAGAAACTGACAGCCTGTTTATACTTGGCTGGCATTAAAATAGACCTCTCATGCCTGCACAGGATCCTTTCTGTTTCTCTCTTAGAGAAATCTGCTCAGTTCCATGGATAGGCTTAAGAGAACGTGTGTTTTGTTTGTGTTTTAGTTCTTTTGATGCTGTTAGTACTTAGGGCCATTTGTATGTAAGTTGACATCTGCATTCATGGGCATGGTCCTCAAAGAAAAGAAACTCTGATGGCCTATCAACTATTTCATTTTATTAAATCATGAATGATATTTGGGATTTGTGGTAAAATTGGAAGTTGGAGAAAGACTGGATGGGAGTGTGGATGAAGTAAAGTCGGCCATGAACTTCAGATTGCTGAAGCTTGGTGGGACCTGGAACTTCATCACACTGTTCTTTCCATTATTTTGTTGTTGTTCTGTTTTATAGCTTTTTAAAAATTAAATTTTTTGAATTTTATATATTTTTATTTAATTTAGATCCTCTCTCCCATCTGTACCCCTACCCAATTTCATGCTCTCTTTTTTTCACACACACACACACATACACACTTGCCTATAGAGTCAAACCTATGTCCCCAAATGCCCTTCTGTTGAGTCTTATCCATTGGAGCTTGGTCAACCTACCAAGAGTCTGACCCTTAAACAGACTGACTCTCTCTCTCTCAGCAGCCATCTATTGAATAGTTTTGAAGTTCTCTCTTCTAGAATAAGGTTTAAAACAAGAGTGCACTGTTTTGATCAATAGGTGGTACTGCATTGTCACCTTGAGAGTAAGTTGATAATAAATGTGTTAGTACATGATGTTTAAGATAGTCTAATATTTAAGCCAGGAGTCGTGGCACATGCCTTTAATCCCAGCACTCAGGAGGCAGAGGCAGGAGGATCCTCTGTGAGTTCAAGGCCGGCCTGGTCTACAGGGTGAGTTCCAGGCAGCTACAGGGAGACCCTGTCTCAAAAAGACCAAAAAAAAAAAAAAAAAAAAAGTCTAATATTTAATATTTTATTAAAAACTTTCTTTTCTGGGCAGCACACACCAGCAATCCCAGGCAGAGGAAGGAGGATTACCATGAGTTTAAGGCTAGCCTGGTCCACATAGCCAGTTCCAGGTCATCCATAGTGAGAAACTAACTGAAAAAACAAGCAACCAGGCCTAGAGATGGCCCAGCAGTTAAGAGCACTGACTGCTCTTGCAGAGGACCTGGGTTTGGTTCCCAGCACTAGTATGGAAGCTCACAACTTTCTGTAGCTCTAAGTTTCAGGGCATTCAATACCTTCTTCTGAGCTCTGTGGGCATTTCATGACAAGGGTGCCCTTACATACATGCAGACAAAACACTCATACCCACAAAATAAAAATAAATCAATTTTTAAAAACAAGCAATGGGAAAATTAAATTCACTGGCACATACCTTAACCTACCACTTGGGAGGCAGAGGAAGGAAGATCTTTGTGAAGTTGAACCTGGTCTACAGAGTGAGTCCCAGGCCAGCTGGGGCTATAAGGAGGCCCTGTCTCAAAAAGAACGTTTAAAAAAATTAAAAAAATCCATGAGCTAGACTCATATCTGTATTCCCAGCACTAGGGAGGCTGACACGCAGAATGCAGAATTCAAATATTGAGAGCTAATGAAGATAGAATTTGGTAAAAGCGTACCATTTTGCATTAAACTATGATGTCAAGTATCAAATTTCAAATTCCATATGAAAGCTAATAGAGAAATAAAACTAAAAGCTCAAATTTATTTGGATATTTAAGATTAATATATGGGAAAATGAGAGTTAATTCTGTTATTCATTGTATTCATTAAATATAGTTCTTTGTCAAGTATTATATGAGTTAGAAATTCATTCAGTTTTTATAACAACAGGAAAAAATAGTAAGGTGTATGGTAGTGATTACAGAATCTGATAACAAATTTTGAAATACTTTAAGATGGGTGTAGAGATGTATGTCTGTAATTCCAGCATTTGGGAGATTGAGGCAGGAGAATTGCAAGTTAGAAGCCAGCCTGGGCACAAGACACTGTCCCCAAAACACACACATTAAAAATAGTATTTTAGTTCAATACCTAATCTAATCTTATCTTTCAGGTGAAGTGAATGTGAGAGGAATCATTTGACCAGAGTGGGGAAGAGTAGTCTCTGAAGCCTGTTGAGCGTTCTGTGGGTGTCCTGGCCACCAAGGCCTCATGCTGCTGGTGTGTGCCATGTAATAGGAACAGCCGCGCATTTGCTTAAGGAATCACGACCCGTTTCTCCTTGATATGTATTATGTGGGTGATCGCCTTTGTAGACTGATCTGGCAGTGTTCTTTCCTCTGAATTGGGGTTCTTGTTCCATGAGAAAGCTAGTGTAAATGCTCCTCTTTCCACCATCTGGACATCACCAGTCAAACCTGCTGGCAGTGAGGTCCTGACTGCTGTTGTCCTTATGAACATTTAAGCTCAATTCCTACTTACTGGTTTTAATCCAAACCCCAAATTTTGTGCTTTTTCATTTTGTTATAATTGAATCATTTTCTACATAATAGATGTATAGCTGAGATAGACCAGAGTGAACCAGATGTAGCCTGTTCACCTAAGGTCAAATACACTCTACATTCCTCTTTTCTGGGAGGAAACACTTTGATTAATTTTTAAGTGTATCATATTATGTAAACCAGTTCTTCCCTGTCTCCTAGCCTAGAAAGGCTACTATGTCGTTAGGACAACCTCAGTTATATGAATCAGTAAAACAAGTATCTCTAACTCAACATATTGATTTTTTGAGGCATACTAGTTCTTCTGACTTATTTACATCCCTGGCCAGGTTGCAAGAACCTGTCTTCAGAAAGGAAAAGGAAATCAGCTGCACAGTGGTGGTTCTTAAAACCTTAATGGGCATAAATACATAGGCGCTTATTAAAAAGTGCATCATAGTGCCCCACCATAGGGACCAAAGAGCTTAGGTGCTTTGATGTACACCAGATGAACTGACGCAGGGAGCTCTGACTGATAAATAGTGTCCTAGAATGCTGATCCATTAGTTTACTGCTTTGCTTAGAATTATTGCTACTTTGTTTTCAGGAATTAGACTCATTTAGTCAGAGCACTAACGAAATTTCCAAGTGTTGTAAATCATACAATAAAATCATTTCCTATTTGAGAATATAACAGTAATTTTCTTAGGTATTTTCCACATTAAAACAATGATCCTTGCTTGGGTTGGTGAGATGACTCTGGACAAAGGTGCCTGCTGTCAAGCCTGATGAGTCCTGTCCCCAGAAAGGAAAGAACCTACTCCTGCAAGTTGTCCTCTGACTTCAACACACATGTTGAGCAGTGGTAGACACCCATGTGCACATGTATGCATGCACATTCAAATAAGCAAAAATGGAAAAAATATTTAAACAACCATGCTTCATCAATAACTGTAATAACTTTGTATTTTTAAAGTATTCTAAATAGGGGCTAGAGAGATGCCTCAGCCATTAAGAGCACTGGCTGCTCTTGCAGAAGTCCCAGGTTCCATTCCCAGGACCCACATGGCAGCTAACAACTGTCCTTAACTCCAGTTCCAGGGGATCCGACACCCTCTTCTGATCTCTGCAGGCATTGCATGACACCGGTGTACTAGATGCATGCAGACAATAGACTCGTGCACATAAAATATAAATATTAATAAAAGTATCTTAACTATCTAATTATGTTTCTACAATAACCACTAAAGTAGGCAAGCATCTCCACCATTAATGGAACAATGTCTTGACAGTTTAGGTGGTAGAGTCTTTGCTAACATTCAGTTGGGAATGTTGGGTTTGTTCACAAGGTTGAGCCAGCAAGATATACTGATGAAAGGTTGACAAGACTGACTAAAGAAGAAGGGGAAGTACAAAATCCTGATGAAGAGAAATTCAGAAAAAGAATAGGAAAGGAGAGAAGATGAGCGTAGAGAACGCCTGTAAGAGGTCGTGCGTGAGGTTGTGTGTGTGTATGGCGGGGGGGGGCATTAATTTACGCTGTCTTTTTTTATTTTTATTGTTTGGTCTTTTTGAGACAGTGTCTCCCTGGCCTGGAACTCTCTACTCTCTATGTTGACCAGGCTACCCTTCCCTGATCTCACAGTGATCCACCTGCCTCTGCTTCCCATGTGCTGGTATTAAAGGCGTCTCCCACTGTGCCTGGCATCTTACAGTATCTTAAAGTGTAGAAATCCTGACGTGTATATTTTGTTTGATATATTTCAACTTATTTATATGCCGATGAAGGTAATTCAGTTGAAAAAGAATTAGGGAGCTGGAGAAATGGCTCAGCTGTTAGGAGTGTTACTCTTCCAGAGGACAGTTCCCAGTAATCATGCTGGGTGGCTAACTCCAGCTCCAGGGGCATACAGTGTGCCTCTGGCACTCACACGCATGTGCATGTACCCCTACCCAGACACATACACATAGTTAAAGTGAAATATAAATCTTTTTTTTAAAGTATTGAATGGTAATACCTAATAATAAGTTCAGAAAGAAAAATAATTGATGGAAGAGACAGACAAGATCATTGCAAAAGCAAGGCTTGTGTAGGCAGCTGCAGAGTGGCTAGATCCCCAGAGCAGAGTGCTGGCCACAGAAGCAGGGAGCCTGGTGACAGCTCTGAGGGCAGAGAGCAGACCCTCAGAAGAGCTCAGACTTCTCAGTTGAAAGACTGGACTTCTCATTTCTTTCTAGTGAAGTAAGAAGTGAGGTCTTAAAAATTGATGTTCTCTGCCATCCTAGTTCACAGTCTTTGTGTGTATGTAAGTGGGGGTGTCTGTGTGCATAGGGCCAGAGAGGACAGCACAGGGGAGAAGGGTTGAGAAAGAAGAGGGGAGGACAATAAGATCCAAGGAACACGGAAGTGGAGGGGAGGCTGTGCACAGGAGGGTTTGGGAGACCCCCAAGTTGGGGCTCAGGGGTTTGCCAGAACGAAACCTAATAATGTATATGCTAATTTAAAAATTTTCAAATAATAAAAAAAGAAGTGAGGTCTTTGGCATGATCAAAAAATAAAGCAGGATGTATGAATGTATGGAAATGTCACAATTCTGAAACCCATTAATGTGTATAAGTAATATACATTAATAATTATAAGTTTATTTTTTAAGTTGAAGAAAAGACCAAATATTTGGCTACAAGTGAAGAGGTTTTTAAAGGGAGTTAGAGATTTAAGGAGTGAGAAAACAGTCAAGAGCATTGCCAAGGTCTAAAAGTTCATTACAACATTAAAGAGTTGTTGCCATACTGTCATGTGTCACTCAGCTGTGGGGACAAGCTCTGAGAAAGGTATCTTTAGGTGATTTTGTCTAGGTGACTATGATGTTACTAGCTAATCTGTAGGACTATCATTGTATTTTGTTGTCTGTCACTGGCCACCATTGTATAGCACGTGGCTATAGTAACCTAGCCACTGAAGGTTCTCTGGTACAGTCACAGTAGGTAGAGAAACCAGGTTTGAGGTAAGTGGTGAGTCTGGAAGGAAGGTGGTCAGGGCATGGCATGGATTGTATGTGGAGGTGTGAACAGCTTTTGAGCTAGAATTGAAGAAGGAACAAGAGGTGACCAAGTTATGAATGGTGAAACATGTTGGTCAGTAGATAATGAACCCCATGAGGTTGTGTGACTGTGCTAAACAAGAATTGGTGTCAGTACCGAAATTTATGAAGTTGAGGTTTGGGGAGCTGTGTTGTGTAGTATACAGCTAGTTTTTAAGGCAGCTAAGGGAGGCAGCTGAGATGAGGTAGACAATAGAGATGGACGTGAGGGAGTCAGGGAGACAAATTCAGGTGCTGGTGTTGATAGATGTCTACACTAAAGTTGGTGCTGAGGCAGGCAGGTGCCTTCCACTCCTCTCTAGATTGAGGGGCCCGTGGTGGGGAAGGTTTGGCATGGTGAGATCTAGTGGCAAGGGGGGTTTTTCAGAGCAGAAACGAGACCATCTGGAAGTATTGGAGAATGAGCTTACCTTCAAACCTGCTCCAGGCTTGTGATATGTTGGGTGACAAATCATGATTGGTTTGAGAGAACTGCAGATTAGTTATGTTCTTTGAGTTTGAACAGGTTTCCCTAAGAACAGGAAAGAACAGGCCATTTAGAAAGGCGCAGGAGACATTGGTTCTGATAGGCGGATCGAGTTGCAAGGGTTTGATGAAAACAGACTTCTCTATTTAAATAATTTTGCCTTACAAAAATATTTATGTTCCTTATCTTGAGAAATTACAAAATAGGCCCTTCAGAAGCTAATTTGACCTTCAATTTGCTTTGCAATATCCCTGTTACAGGAGTGGTTTGCAGTGTATGTGGAGCTCAATCAGCAGATTGCAGCGCTCTTGAATGCTGGGGACGAGGAAGATCTTGTGGAGCTGAAGTCTCTGCAACAACAGCTTAGCGATGTTTGCTATCGACAGGCCAGTCAACTAGAATTTAGGCAAAATCTCCTACAGGCAGCTCTTGAATTTCATGGTGTAGCCCAAGATGTAAGTATCTGTTATGATTTTCTTATCTTCAAGTGATCTGAACAGTCTATATAAAACTTTTGTAGATCTGCATGCCTTGTGATTATTTTTCTGGAACAGTAATTCACTGGTGGAGGTAATGAAATAAAATTCTTTGATTAAAAATACATTTTGTTACACTGCATGCAATTAAACCTTCTATTGTCTAACTAGAGTGTTCCAAGCTAGTAGATACATATCATTCTGAAAGTTTCTCAATACATATGCTTTGTAACATAGAAATGGAACCATCAGTGATTGTCACCATTCTGCTGACCTGAATGTCTTTCTCTGTCTCCCTGGTGCATGCATCTGTGTCTAGATAGCATGTAGTCTGATTGTTCGTCCTTGTCTTTTAACAGCATAGTCTTTTCAAGTGTAATTGTGATGACCTCATTAGATAAACCTCATTAATCATTAAACACTTGCGATGTGATGACATCAGGGTTATCTCTTTGGTGTCCCTCTGCTTTAGTTGTCTCAGCAGTTGGATGGCTTATTAGGGATGTTGTGCGTAGATGTAGCACCAGCTGATGGAGCATCGATTCAGCAAACTTTAAAACTGCTTGAAGAGAAGCTGAAAAGTGTTGGTAAGCAGATTTTAAAAATGCTGAAACATAAGGGTTCTTTTTAAACATATTGCTGTGGTTAGACAGTTAATTTATACTGAACTAATTATTATTTGTAGGAAATACAGGAAAAGTAATATTAAAAGGTTTTCTTCCCCCTAGAGGTTAAAATTTTTGCTAAAACATTTATTTTCTCATGTGATTAGTCACTCCTCCCTTCCTTGGGCCTTTCACGGTCCTGTTTCCTCGGTCATATCTACAGGTGCCATGTGTTGCACATACCAGGAACAGTTATTTGTAATTCATGTAGAAGCCGTAATTAGCTGTGGAGTGTTCTGTGGTAAACCCTGTTTGCCCCAAACTGTGTTTTATGCAATAATTTGTTGTCGTTGCTATATTCTAACCTTGTGAAAAAATGGTTTTTGATTCTGTGAATTTGTTTCTCCACATTGGGGATAATATCTCAGGGAAGTATGGTCCAGTTTTATTAACCTGGCTCTGTAACTTGATATCAAGACCTTTTAAAAGCTTTTGCAGTAGGAAATGTAGTGAACTTTCCTAGATTGGAATGTAAAAATTAGAAGGGGTTGTCTATTGAGAGGGATGGGGAGGGAAGATAAAGAAAATTAAGTGAGGGAGTTAGTAGAAAGTGATGACACATGATTGAACCAAATTAATTGTGAAAACAACTTCAAGGAATTGGTTTGAAAAAAAAAATTGTTATGTTGACATGGTACTGGCAGCCTTTGTTAAATTAGCAGGTGATAGGCATAAGACCTGGTTCATATGTCATGCGCTAAATGTGGTTTTAGATATCAGTTCTTTGAGCCACACTTCTCCTTTAAAGAGAACCCTTATCCATATATCTAATTTAGAATCCAAATAGCTTGAATAGTGCTTCCCACAGCATGTGCACTGCAGTGGCACCTCATAGGGCTCAGTGCCCTTTTACTTTGATTTTATATTGTGTGAGTGTTCTGAATCTTGGAAACATTTTAAAACAAAATATTTGTATTCTTGTCCTAAAAATAGGAACACAAAATAAAAAATAGAAAATTCATATTTGTTGAAATAGGGAATTCTCATAATTCCTGCTTTCAGTTTTTAAAAGTAGTTATTAACTAAGCTGGGTATGGTGGCACACGCCTTTAATCCCAGCACTCGCCTTTAATCCCAGCACTCAGGAGGCAGAGGCAGGTGGATCTCTGTGAGTTCAAGGCCAGCCTGGTCTACATAGTGAGTTCCAGGACAGCTGGGGCTACAGGGAGACCCTATCTCAAAAAGACCAAAAATCTAAGAGATTCATGTTTTGAAGATTCCCTCTAGGGAGAATTTGGCATCAGAGAGAGTTCCACTTGGAGCCCCAATTTAACAAAGTTCTGCTGCTTGAGATACTCAGAGGACTCCAGACCAACATGTCTGATGCTTTTAGACTTGGAATCCATGTCTACATGTTGAGAGGTTTATGTGAGGGAGGGAAAATAACTTTTGTAAAGAGATTAAATCCTGTATCTTTTGTTTTAGATGTGGGGTTGCAAGGCTTGAGAGAAAAAGGTCAAGGTCTCCTGGATCAGATCTCCAATCAGGCATCTTGGGCCTACGGAAAAGATGTAACCATTGAAAATAAAGAAAATGTGGACCACATACAAGGAGTGATGGAAGATATGCAGCTTAGAAAACAAAGGCAAAGTTTGAATGCTAATGTTAAATTTAACAAGACTATAAAGTATTAGAAGTTAAATATTTATATTTTGCATGCAAACATGAATTTATCTCTTTCATGCCTTAAATCTTGCTGTTCTTCAGACTTGTAGAAAAGAGTAATCCTCAAAAGTACAAAGATTGCAGGAAACCTTCTTCTTTAACTCTTTTCTAAATTATAATTGAAATACTGAGATTATTTCACATGTATATTTTTGACTTCCCATGTCTGACCACCATAACTGTGCCCTGTCATAAAATTTCATACCTATTTAAATGAAGTAAAGGGTGAAGTTCCATCCTTAAAAACTAACCAAGTATTTTAGACAATACATTTTTGGCAGTGGAATCTGGACAATATTTACCAAACACGTCAAAGAAAGTTCTGACTTTGCATTATAAAAAGGATAGCAAATATCAGCTGTTACAGACATGAAGTAAGATGGAAACTTTCACACCCTTTAAACTCTTTTCTTGAAAAGACATCCTTCACTGCCAGAGATCTTGAATAACCTCCTGGCAGTCATTTGGAAGCATTTCTTCACATAATTGAAGAACTGGCTTCCACTTTGGGAAGAGAACTACCTTTTGCTGGATTTGCCTGCTTTTTTGCTGTAATGTCTTTGACAGAACTAGGTCCTTTTGGTGTTTTAGTAATTTTTTCTGTTTTTTGAAGGATTCTTAACATTTTGATCTTGGTATTGATCGTTTTAAATCTTTTTCCTTTCTATTTTGATGTGTTTGCATTTGGGGGCTGGAATGTCTTGTATAGATTTCTTCACTGGAGCTTTGTTCCCATCATCATCGTCGTCGTCATCATCATTTTTATCATTGTTATCATCGTCTTCATCTGCCGTGGAACCTTGCTACCACGTCCAGGGGCAGGTTGCTTTCCAGCTATACTTAAGAGTTTCACACCATTCTCTTCATCTTCTGACTCTGCATCTGCTTCCACAGCTACTAGGCGCTGTCAACCAATATGTTCAGCCCTTGAACCGCACTTCAACCTTAAGCCCACTTCAGCCAAAGCCCCCAAGGGAAACCGTTGTTTGTATAGACATTTTCAAAGTTGCCAAGATTGCTTTAATTGGACTGCCTTCAGAATTCATTGCCATTGCCTCACTGTTGTACAATTCAACTTTTGCCACGGCTCCTAAACTGCGTTATCACAATGATAACAGGTGCTCGTTTTCACCATTATCCATTTTAAAGTGATAATCTTTGTTGGCCTTAACTTCACAACTGAGAAGATAGTTCTGAGACCTTAGAGACTCATGTCTTTGTCCATTGCACCATCCATGGAGTGGAGGTGCACACCTGGGGGTGAGGAAGCTAGAGATAACTGACTGCTGCTCCTCACAACAGAGTGCAGGGCAGAGTCTTGTCAGGCCTGTTTTCCCAGATCAAGTTCGATTTCCTTGGAATAGTCTAGAAGACCATCTTTCAGTTCTGTATACTCTTGTCATCTGTAACTTTCCACACAATCACACAATTATTTGTAGTTTTCTCAAATACGTTGGTGCTGTTTCATGTATCCATGATTTTTCTCTTTCCTCATTTTCTGTCTAGTGAATTTTCCATTTATTGTTCAAGACTCAAGATGTGTGTTTATGCTGGGCAGACCAGCCACCCAGTCTTCTCTACTCTTACAAAGCTTTTTACAAATTCTGTAACAGCTTTTATTACACTTCCTATCTAAAGGTACATTTCCCATGAGCATTTGCTAATCTCACTGTGGTCTGTTTGAATAATACACAGATTAAATTTATGTTAAACTGTTGTATTTTCCCAGTGACACATAATATGTATTGAGTACAGGTGTGATAATCATCTTTATCATTAAGGTGTTTTACATAATGTATTTGTTTTGGAATTGTCATCACTGTTTCCTTTCTGTCGCTTGTAGAATTACTTTAAACTAGCTTTATCTTAACATTATGTTATGACTAAGAACATTTTTATATGAAAAAATAACTTATTGATAACTAGTTGTGTGTTATCATTAGTCTCTTCAGGAACATTGCAGTAGAGCTTGGTACCTGTT